CTCTTGCTCTCCTTTAAGCCATCTCTATCCTATTTATATTGCCTTCCCTCTCTGTATTGACTTAACATTTCAATTTATTCTTACATGTTTTGTACAGTGTACAAGTCTGTCTCTCCCAGTGGGGGCCATGGTGTACAATGTACTTAATACAGCTAACCTCATAATGTTGCTTTAAAGTGATGCAATGTGGAAACTTCACTTTTTAATATATGGAGATTATATTGCAAAATGCAATTTCATACACTTCTTTGGCTGACATCATAAGTATAGAGACTGGATGTTTTTTTCTCCCACCCACCACCGACATAATAATTGAACTTGGAAAAATATAATGAGAATCTGGTTTTCCATGTTAGATAACAAGTGACACGGGCTGTGATTTTGACAGAAGGAACGATGAATGAGCCCTATCGATCACTTCAGTTTTCTGCCTTGATAGTCCCTTCCATCTCCAGCGTGGGGGGATCCTAAGCAGACAGGACAATGGTGATTTTTCTGGGTTAAAGACAGTGGTTGACAGAGGCGCTGGGAGAACTATGCAGTGGGCATAGGGTTCCTTTTGTTTGGAAGAACGTAAAACTGTACAGCGGATAGGCATTGAAACTCCATGAAGCAAAGCATAAATGGACTTTGTTTTTGATCTCAGGTACTATAGATTTAAGGCATATACACTTGGCTTCTTATGCTTGGTGCACACTTTGTTGTGGATTCTAAATGGGTTGTGGATTCTTTGGTTGAGACAATGTAGTTCTTGCTCCATGGAAGTTACAGAAGCGACAGGCTGTAAGAAGCTAATGAAGGCATTACTGCTTGATAAGTTACGGTTCATCTGGGGCTAGTTAAGACTGGAGCAGTGTCTTACACCTTCAATAAAAGGAATGGTGACAAATTGCTTCTGTGAGTTGTTCAGAGCCATCTGGGAGAAATTTGAAGTTAACTGAGGGAGGAAAAATCTAGGAGAAAGTCTGCTGCCTCTGGTGGGGGGAAAATCTCCCTATCAGCAGAAATTCCTGCATCATTTTTGCAATTGAAGTGAAAGGGTTTTTTTGCTTGAGTTATTCAGTGAAATGTCTCAATTTTCCACCTGGCATGTCAGTCAAGCGTTTTAGTGTGAGTAAATGCCTGGTTCTAATGATACTCGAAATAACTGAAGTGCAGGGGACCCTGATAAAAACCATCCTTTTCTTTTTAGTATATTTATTTAGCAAACATTTGGGGTCTACTGCACGTACAACTTTGCACTAGAAAGTGACTGTCACAATTCCATCTACAAGAAATAGCAGTTTAACTAGGGATTCTGATATGAGAATATGTTGGCTCCAGGTTGAATATGTTGGTTTCTGGGAGGAAGCCAGGTGGTGGTTTTCTGTTCTTTGATATTCGTCCATGTGAGAGGTGAAGTCTAATTTCTCTCTATGTGAATGTGAACACAAGCTGTACTTGGTGACTCACTTCTAACTATGAATGTTAGAATGTTAGAATGTAGTGGGAGTGATGTTCTAGTCTAGGTCATAAAAAGGATACAGCTGAGAAATTAGAACTAAGCTTTCTTGGGATAATAGTTCTGAATCTAACTGAAATCACATTCTGGCTGAACAGATAAGTCTTTGGATCTAGTTGAATTTGATGTAACTCTATTGAGCCATGCTAGACTTTAAGGCTTGGTCCGGGATTGGTAAGAAGGACAGCTTAGATTAGACTTGGCTAAGGTTCTTAGCTAGCAAGAAGTGCAAAGGATACACACAAGATCAAGGCTGCAAGCTGGTGTAGGTGGACATGGCTTCTTGGTATCTCCTCTGTCCCTCCTGGAGATGTTCTGTCTAAAGTTCAGAGGTCTCAGCCATGTGTAATGAAGCAAGAATGGGTCAGATCAGAGGAACTCATGGATTCATAAATCTTTGCTGCACTGCAATTAAAACACTAAATTATATAAGTTGCCTTAGCTTGGTTTTCCCAGAAAGCAGAGCCTAAGGCTTATGTGCTCTTATGTTATCAAGGAGTGTAATACCCGGAGCACATGTGAGGGACAAGAGGAGTGAGACAGAGAATGAGAGAGAAGGGGAGACAGAGAGAGAGAGACAGAGAGAGAGAGAGAGATATTGGGAGAAAGAGAGAGCACGCCATTGGAGTGACCATCACTTAGTCTCAATGGAGCCATCTTCCAAGAGGCCAGATAAACGACTACTTCTTCTGATTGTCCATTGCAGGAGGATGGTCAAGAATACATCTGCTATCTCCATTCCCCTGGATCAAAGTTTTTCTTCATGGGACATTAATTCTCCAAGTACTTCCGGGTTGCACTCGTGTGGATGCCAGAGGGTCTCATGATGTCTCACGCCTCTGTGACAACAGTGAAGCCATGGGCAGGAGGTGAGAATGGCAGGCACAGGCATGAGACGATGTCCAGATGGATTGAGACTGTATTAAGTTAGGTCATAGTTCACGGAGAACCAGGTGACAGGTGAGGCCTGAGAGGGCCTGAATCGTGTGGTGAGAGCCGTCTTGTACACAACGCTTACGACCTACCAACTTTCCCATGGCATTCCTGCTGGTGGGCCCACTGAGGCTTCAGGGTAGCAGGTGGAACCGTAGACTCCCGCACTGGTTATTTTAAAAGAGTGCTTTGTGAACTACCTGTGTCAGAGGCACCTGAAGGAGGGAGTGCTTCTTAAAATATAGATTTCTAGGCCCCACTTCAGACCTACTGATTCACAATTTCTGGGGCCAGGTACTGAGATGGGTGTATATAACAAGAAGCCCAGGTGATTCTACTAAACCTTAAGAACCACTAAGAAAACATAGGATATCAGACCATATTAGAGTTAGTTTTATTGAACTTTGCATAACACGTCCCAAAACAGTACGTATCAGAGCAGACTCTGAGGTAATTTCCATATAAAGTAATTTATCTACCAGGCCCCATTTATTTCAAGAATCCTGACAGGCTATTACCATTTCAATCTGCTGACTATATTTTATTTAAAATACCAAGTCTTGAAGCTACTTTGAATACTTGAGTACATTTGACAACATCTACAATTGTAGCTCTTATAAACACCCACTTTTGTTGTCACCCATTATTTTAATGAGTTTTCCCATAGCCATGAAGCTGATTGCAAAGGGCCAACTTTCTGTGGCCTCTGGGCTCTGTTACCTGGACGCTGCCCAGCAGGTGAGGAGGAGCTGTTCATGAGGAAAGCTGCTGTCGCGCAGCTTTAGGTTCAAGCTGAAAGCACAAAGAGACTGCGAGTTCAGTCCCCAGCATACTAAATTTATAAGGATGTATGGTCAGCTAATCCTTTGATTTTTTTTTTTTTTTAATTTGGAGAACTTGCAGTGACTCTTCTACTGCACAAATAGGAGGCAGTCTATTCCTTTAAGCAGTTTGGATATTTACAGGAAGGATGACCTGTAACTTTTCTCAGCCTGTACCAGTGTTTGTAAGACTCAGAGTCCATAAGTTTTAAGTAATTCCTTTGGTCTACCCTTTGAATTTCTTTTTCTGAAATTCAAACCCACTGAGGAAAAAATCCTATAGTGGTATGCTATAAACCTAATTGTAATTAATTTTGATTTTAATAGCTATAAATACTAGGTTAATTGTCATAACTGTAACTGTGATATGAAAGTAGTTTTGGGTTAAAAAGCCAATCTGGAAAGGGGTGTATGTGTAAGAAACCATGCAGGTAGAAGGCATTGAATGAGAGTATCAAAAGACATGATTGTTGAAGAGCATTGCATCTTGGAGGAAGTTATCCCAGAGCTGGACCTAAGATGGTGACACAATTGGCTGCTCAGACATCCTGAAATCAAAGAGTGCCAATGGATAGCACCAGCCCTTCTGATAAGATCCAGCTTAGATAGCAGAGTCTTGTCTAATTTCCCCATTGCCCAACAAAAGAAGTGCTAATCTAACATAGAAACATTAGACTCAGAAAAGTGGAACTTTTCCAAGGCAGTCCAAAAAATCTTCTGGGCATGGCTGGTCAACCTTAAAGTTTGTATATATCAACATATAGTAATTATGAATTAGGTGCTCTGTGTGTGTGTGTGTGTGTGTGTGTGTGTGTGCGCTGATGAAATTTTATAATTATAAAACTTCTAAAAAATAGAAATTTTGCCTCAGCTATTTGTCTTTGGTTTCTAATTTTTGAGGTCTCACATCATGAAAATGTCTAAGTTGTATCAGACATAGTTTATAGTCTCCCTAGATTCACCTTGCTCTCCCAACCCCCAGGGCCTTAGCAGCTTGCTCAAAGGTCCCCCATCTCCTTCCACCTCTGGGTCTCAGTTTTCCCCACCTGCTTGGGGAGGGTTGGGCTTTCCATGGCCTCTGCCATGCTTATCTTGGCAGGGGCTGCCTCAACCCCGCACTTGGCCATGACCTTACTGGCCCTTTGCTCCCCTTCTGACTCAAATGAAACTCTATAGTCAGGCCATGGGGCCTGGGGTCCCTTGTGGCTGCCCTAGTGGGCAAACACCTTGGAAGTGAGGAGGGAAACTTCTAATCCATTAGTCAGAAAGGTAAAGACAGGAGCTGTGCTCCAGAGCATACGAGCACCTCCCTTTTCCCCCCTGAGGGACTCCCAGGAGATGAAGCGGTTTCACATGCTGTGTCTGGAAGACGTACCACACAGGACAAGCAACCGGCTGTGTTTTCTTGTGAGGCTGTGGCTAGATGAGCGATACGCTCCTTAGACTTGCTGACGCCACCTCCTTGCCCCCTTCTCTTGCTGTCCTGGGGTTGTACTTTCCCATAACACCTTAGTATGTGAGTTTGCCACAGGCTATGTTTCAAGGGAACCAGGGGAAGGCAGTTGGTAGCAGGAGCGGGCCTAGCACGCCGACCCTCAGGCCTGGGTGCTGGAGTTGAACTGCTGTCTGTCTGAGAGCACCAGGGACTTCAATGAGGGTGGTAAGGGGGACGTTAACAACCTTGGCATGCCCTGGCATCCTGAATTAGTTTTCTACTGCTGTTGTGACGAATTGCCATAAGCTTAGTGGCTTAAAACAACACAAATATATTAACTTATCATCTTAACGACAGAGGTCTCTCTGGGTTAAAATCAAGGCGTCAGTAAGGCTCTGTTCTTTTCTGGAGGCTCCAGAGGAGAAGCGGTTTTCTTGCCTTTTCCAGCTTCTAGAGGCCACCTGCCTTCCACAGCCTGGGGGGCCCGTTCCTCTGCCTTCAGAGGCGAGCGGTGTAGGAGCATCTCCCTGACCTTTCTGTAGTCATGAGTCTCTCTCTTCTTACCCAGAGCATGTGTTTTTAAGGACGCGTACAATTGGATTGAGCACAAGTGACAATCCAGGATGATCTGCCCATCTCAAAATATATAACCTGGATCACATCTGCGAAGTCCGTTTTGTCAACGTGTACAGTAACATAGTCACAGGTTCTGGAATGTGGAGATCTTTGCAGGGGGGTATTCTGCGAACACATCAATTACTGAAGTTTTCACTCGGTGGTTTATTGAGAAGTGTAGTTAGAAGACAAGGCATTGGTAGATGTGTTACTGATGCACTTGGTTGTCATGGGAAGAAGGAAATTCATAAGATTGTGGCATCTTCTTTTAAAAGAATTGGTAGCTTTATAAAAAGAGAATCACGGACACAGTTAAGCCATGCTCTGTAAGCTGCAGTGTTCCTAAGGCTGCTTTAAAGTACTCATATTTCACAGCTACCATGAAGACTGTGCTGAAAATCCAGCTCTGGATTTAATGTAAGGGAGGCAAAACACAAGACATAATATGTGTGTCCCCTTGGCAAGGGTCCTCTGTCAAACTTAGGGCCCTGAGAAGAAAGGATGGGGACTTTGAGACACAGGGTGGCAACCTTAAACCCCACAATTCTTCTGGATCCTCCTCATTGGCAGAAGTAGCTCCTTTGCCTTTTCCAAAGGGAAACATCCATCCCTATCCCCACTGCCTGGATACCTTGCCAAGCCTCAGGTGAGGGTGAGGCGGACTGGCTGGTTCTCCCCTAGCTCAGCCTCACCACCCCTCATTGCCTTCAGGCCGATGACCAGATTCCAGTCTTAGTTTAGCCTAGACCGGAAAGTGGAGCCTTGCTTTTGGATGAAACAGTTCTTATAATGGAGTTGCAGAATCTGGCTAATCAGTACCTGGAGGAACTGGCAGAGCACATGGTGGACGGTAGATTTTGAGAATCTTACTTCTGAGAGGGGAGGAATCTAGGCTGGAGGAATATCTAGGGGAGAAAATCTAGTGGAGGAATGTAAGCTGGCTAGGTGAGAATCCTTTGACAGAGGGACACGCATAACTCAGGATTCAGTATTCTAGTAAGGCACCTGGTGCTTGTCTTGATAGCTTGCTGGGAGAACTCCTTGAAGATTGAATCAGGCAATAGCTTTCAGTGAATAAGATAGAAATTCCATAATTTCTTTGACCTACAAAGTGGTCAAAAGGCTCAGGGAATCTTTGAGGTTTGGGGAATGGATGGACTATGTATGATTTGAGAAGCCACATGTGACTATGTGCTCCATCCAATTTTACATCTTTGTGTATGTAAATTTGAAGTTGTTCCTGGATTAGTGAATTTGAGACATGGGGCAAGCAGAGCTTCATTCAATTATTGCTGCATGTATTTAATGAATATTCATGAAACCTATTATATATCCATCAATATGCAAAGATGCTGATTACACAAAGAAATCCCTTACCTCTAGGGGTTTTTAATCTAGTGTGGAAGGCAGAGCCCCGGGGAGAAAATCATCTTCTACTCTTAAGGTCCCTGCACTGTAAATTCTTCAAATGTATGTGCTGTGACACATGAATTTCACTGTAGTGGTCTTAGAATTGCTGCCTTTCTGCCATGACAAAATGATTTGATCTTATGCTAGGTATAGAAATAAGCACATACACTTGAATAGACATAAAACATTTCATCTGAAACCTTCAATTTGAAAAAAGACTCAAGAGAAAAAAATATATAGATTCAGACAGTTGTTTTCTTGAATATATTTGTATCATTTCTTTATCTTTCGAGATTGCTATTTGGAGGCAATTATTTTTCAAGAATGACTGAAAGCGTACACCTTATTTCAGTGAATTTATAATTTAAATAGATATGGGCTTAGAGGGATATGCTTCAGGCAAAAATCTCATTAATTCTTCATACTTTCCATTTTGAAATTAACAAAAAGCTTTATGAATGAGAGCAGAGGAAGAAAGATGAATTTCTGTCTTATTTCATTTCCTCTGCCACTCAGACATTATAATTTTTTTAAAGCAAGGAGAACCACTTAGTTTTTGATAATTTAAGTTCCTCATATAATGAGTAGATAGTTTTGATGGTCCATCAACTTCATCATTTTTTTCCATTCTTTCACGACTTGCAGCTGTAAGTAA